AAAAAAAAAAAATCATTTACATATTGTTGTGCCGAATTAAAATCACACATTTACCTTACATATTTCTTGTTGTGATGCGTGTTTCATAGTTTTTATTCAACGCTTTCTTGTTGTTCTTATTATTATGGTTAAAATCATGTTATTTATTTTTTTTCTTCCAAATTTTTCTTTGCCTCTGATTTTCCTCAAGAAACGTATATGAAACATCTAGACTGGTAATTGAAAAGAGATTTCATTGCATGACAATTACCTTGAGAAGTTGTGGGGGAAAGAGCAAAGTACACAGAACATGTTTAAACACAACAACTAAAAGCGGAAGCGACAAGTAAACAAATTCGTCTTCATGGAATGTCCCATCGGAGCTCGTTCATTAGTGAAGCGGTCGTGCGCACGATGTATAATTTGGAATTGCAAGTTTAGGACTCCCTCACAAACCTACCAACACTATACTCGAAACTGTTAACTGCTTCTCTGGCCAACAATGTGGACTAATGCAGCTCTTTGGAATCCCTCCAAGCTAATACAATCGTTAATCCCTAAGTACTTACAAGTTTATGAGTAAAAAACAAGAGCAACTCTTCAATAGTGTAAGAGAACAATACTGAATCGTTGAAAGTCTAATCTATTAAATGTAAACAAAACTCACGAACTCTCAGAGACTAACTCAAGAATAATCTCAATGATAACTGTAATTGCAGCAAGCATGTCAAGTCTCATGATAGCATGTATACAAACTCCAAGAGGTAAAGAGTCTTCATATTCTATGTCTTCAACATCCTTTCATATGGAGTTGATTCTCTTTCAAAATAGTTCAACTGCTTCGATTGAAGATCTCCATAATCTTCGATTGTGTAGGAACAATCTTTTCCAGTTTCCTTGATTCTTCAAACCTCGTCCAAGATCTTCATCACTTCGTATCTTGGCCTCGACCTTCTTCAAGTTATGTGTAGGATCCTTATGCACAATCAACTCACAATTCTTTAAATATTCTATGTAACCTTTATTTACAAGGGTAAGGGAACTCATTAAGGCAATGTGAAATTTAGATATAATAAGAGAATATAATTAAGATATTATAAGATCTTCCTATCTAATACATATCAAATAAATATTTAGTATATAAGGAACTTAATAAATACGAAAAGAGAAAATAAAAATCTTTCATTTTAATTTATTTTGCTTACCTAGCAAGAAAATAACTAGAGAATATAATTAAGATATTATAAGATCTTCCTATCTAATACATATTAAATAAATATTTAGTATATAAGAAACTTAATAAATACGAAGAGAGAAAATAAAAATCTTTCATTTTAATTTATTTTGCTTACCTAGTAAGAAAATAACCAGAGAATATAATTAAGATATTATAAGATCTTCCTATCTAGTACATATTAAATAAATATTTAGTATATAAGGAACTTAATAAATACGAAGAGAGAAAATAAAAATAAGTCGAACTCGAGCTTAACCAAATTGTATTTGCGAACAACTTGGAGTTATAATATAATCATTCCCCATTTCCCCCTTTTTCATGACCTTTACCAAAACTCTATATGAATGCCTATTAAGCTTATTCCACATTTGATCATAGACGGACCTACATGAGGTCTAGGGGGCCCGTGGGCCCCCCCTCATCTTTTATAAAAGTCACATATATATACAAATAAAATATATATATACAAATAAAAAAATTACTATACAATATGAATAAAAATGTAAAAAACATGTAGAATATATAAATAATTCAAACTTATTTTTAATGCCATTTTAATTTAAAGTAATAATATTAATTATTTATTGAAAAGTATAATAGCAATCTTTATATTTTACATTTTTAGATAATTTTTTTTGAAAATGTATAATAATTTGCTCTTTTCTTCTCTTAATTGCAAATTAATTTAATGATTTACAATACCTAGAATTTAGTTGGATTGTTAAATTTTTGAATGCTGATTTTTTACTTTATTTTTTATGTAATCACATATTTTTAAATTTATTTATTTTGTATTAGTAAAATGGTTATTTGACAAGCTCTCATCAACAAAAAATGCTATGCAATGTGTTGCAAAAGTTTAATGTAAATCAAATTTTGAACAAAAAAACTTTTTTTTTTTCATAAATTATAGATCTTAAACTTTAAAATACACGAAATCTCATTTTTTTCTCTTAAAAAAGGTTGAGGGTGATATCGATTCTAAGTTTTTAAAACTTAATGGTACACATATCAATATCTATATTTATAAATGAAAACAACTTTATATGAAATGAGCTTTTCTACGTAAACTACAAACTCGTTATTTAACATTTAAAATTGGGCCCCCTGGATAAAAATTCTACCTCCGTCACTGCATTTGATCGTATACCTATGTGGTTTATGCATCCTTCTCACTAATAAGCATTGAGCTAATTTCTATTAAGAGTGTCATTTATATTATTATATAAATTAACATTATTGTTTGTTATTTATATTTATAATGTATTGGGAATTATGAATTTATTATTTTATTATATTATTTTTTACTAAAAATCATATTGGTGCTTGGTATTCAGATGTATTTAGGGTTGTAAACACGCCGAGACGAGCTTGAGCTCAGGCCTCATGGTGCTCGAGTTCGAGCTAGAGTCTTTCACAAGCAGAGACCAGCTCGACTCGTTAAGTATACGAGCAAAAAATTGAGCTCTATTTCGGCTCGGTATCAATATTAATGAGCTCAGTTCGAGCCTTAACGAGACAATCTCGATTTAACAAGATAAATTATAGAAAATTGTATAAGCAATATCTTTTTGAGCCTCAGCGAGCCGAACCGAGCCCGAATTGTTAATGAAACAAGATTTAAGCGAGATTGAGCTCGGCTCGTTCGAACTCGAGCCTTAATGAAAAGAGATGAGCTCACGGGCGGATTGTTTTGTTTAACAACTTTACATATGTTTAAATAACTATAATAAGATGTTCAATCGTGTGAGAATCAAAGTGTAATGCATTTAGACAATTTTTTGGATTGTACCATGCGTAGGTAAGATCACAGTCTCTCAAATCGGATCAACCCGAGGGTCGACTGGGGACCCGAAGGACCCGGAGTCGGGACTCGTCGGGGTGGATTTTGGACTGGGTGACTTTGGACCCAGTCAAAACAGCATTGACCCAGTTGACTTGAGCATCGACCCGGCCGGGTCAACCCGGTTTGAACTATTTCATATAGTTTATTTTTTTTATATATTTTCTTTTGAAAACAAAAAATATGAATAATTATTTATATGGTAAATATTTATTACAAGATGCAATATTATTAACACTTTGATGTACAATAATTATATACAAAAAAGATATTTATTTCTATTACTTGTATGCATATTTGTATGATGAAAATACTCTATATAATTTAAAATTTTAAAGTTAATTATCGAGTTCAACAATAGACCCGGTGGCTTAGAGGCTCGTCGAAGTCAATTCCCAAGCCGGGTTTATTAACCATGGTTAAGATTTGAGTTATATGTGCTCTAATGAGTAATGATAAATGAGGGATAAAATGATATAATTAGACGTGGCCAGGTGCCGGGTTTGAGCCCGGCCCGGCCCGCCGGGTCACGGGCCCTCAAACATTCGAACCGTGACCGGCCCGCTAGGAACGAAGGGCCGGTTAATAGAACCGGCCCGAACCGCCGGTTCACCGGCCCGGCGGTTCACGGGCCGGTATGGCCCTTAAAAAAAGTAAAGAAAATTGGCCCGGCCCGACCCGGCCTGTCGGGACAAAAAAAAAAAACTGTGACCCTTAACCGGACCAGATTGGCCGCGGTCCGGTTCTCGAACCCAACACTATTCATGCCGGTACCGGTACCGGGCCGGGCCGGTCCGATACCGGGTCGCGGGTCGGGCTACGGGCTGGGCCGCCCGTGGCCATGTATAGATATAATGGTAAGTTTGATTTTATGAAAAATTGAAAATTGCAGTAATAAAAAAAAAAAGTAAAAAAGGATTTGATTTGTGTAGATGTAATGTAAATGATAAGGATATTGCAAACTTGGAGTTGGAGGACGCGATGGGAATCTCAGACCTCTCATTTTACGAGGATAAGATAACAGTGGCCCCACAGACTGCCATGTGTGCACCCATTCTTCTGCTTTGCTATGCGCACCCTATTCATACCAATATAATAATAATCATCTCATAAAAGTCAGAAACTATAATAAATAAATGGCCTATTGATCTTTCATGCGCACACTTTTGATTTCAGCCAACACCTGTAATTAAAAGGACGAACATAAGTAGTACTACCTCCTATTTTTAATATATGTCGTTTTGAGAAGTTACACATTAATTAAAAATATTTTTTTTGTCAATAATAACTTTATTTAATGAAGATAGAGATAAATATTTTGAGAAAAAATGAAGAGTGAATATGAAAAGACGTAATATATTTATTAGCTAAATGAGGGTAATAATAAAAAATTATGTAGAAAAAATCCAAAACGACATTTATTTGACAAATAGTTGATAAAGCTAGAATGACATTTAAAAAAATAGGAGGGAGTAGTATATTATAATCTTCTCCACAAACTTTTGATTTGGCGGACGCAGACTTTAAAGATAACGAATGCACAAATTACGATCAACAGTCAATCTCGACAGTCAACGGTTAACACCAGATGTCAACGGTCAAATCAATATTAATAGTTAACTAATTAAAAAATAAAACAATTAAATATTGACCAGACACTTTGTTCCCTATTTAATAGCTGGGATTGAGTTTCACATCCTCGTTTTAAGAATATGAATGCATTTGATTCAATCTCTATATGGTATATACATTTTATGTATTTTGTGAGGGAAAAGGAAATAAACAAGACATTGAGTACATCATAAGCGTAAATTCCACAACTTGAAAAATAACATACTATTGAAGGTTAATCATTCTAAACATTTCATTTTTTTCTATAGTAAAATAATTTCACATAATAATTAATAACATGTATTTTTTTATGTCAAAAGAATTTTACATATATACAATAACATATATATACTATATTATTGAAATAAAAATCTACAAGCACTTGTGCCCCTACTGGCCCCTGTTTAAATCTGCCCCTGATTTCACTCAATAGTTACTTTTTGAAGGATAATTATTGAACACTAACATACGATGTATGATAGTTAGACGGACTTTTTTTTTTTATTTAAATTGCATATTTTAGAACGAATATAAACAAAAATATGATATTTTACTATATAAATATATATGTGTTGTATACCATCTCCAAAACACATTCACATTTTTATGGAGAAATTTCTTAAAGATATATCATATATTCATTTTACCTTTTGTGTGTAATTAATTATTTTTCATGATATAAAAAATATATTGTATCTCGTAAAAAATAGTTACCATATTAATATACAAACGTATATTTTATTTTTAAATATAAATATATTTGAAAAAAACTACAGTGAGTGGGTCGAAACGGGTTGACTTGGCCGGGTTGATGCCCGGATCGATCAGGTTGTCCAAATTTATTGTCACCCGATCTGAATCACTCATCGGGATCGATCCCGGCTCCACGTTGACTGAGTCCTGGGTCAATCTTTTATACAAAATGATAGACTTGGTATTAATAAATACAACTATTTAAAGACTAAAACATCCAAATACAACCAAATCAATCAACTACTAAGCTGAATCTATAAGGAGAATTATGTAATAGTAGCCTAAAGCCGAAAACACAAAACACAAATTAAAACAAACTACTAAAATACTCACATAAGTGAAATATACAAACTCCAATATTGGAAAATAATAAACCACAAAAAAACAAATACAAACACATAAAATACATACTAAAAGTAAAAATACAATAAAACATTCTCTCATCTAGCTACACCGTACCCATCACTAGAACCAAACCCTAAATCGCCAACATCTGCCCTCCAAAGGCTTCCATTAAAAATCAAAAGCAACTGCCGACACACTGTGAGATGATCTAGCCGAAAGACGAAGAAAGAACTGCAGATATGAAGCCAGCAAACTTGAAAACTCAAGTTCACTTGAACGACTAGTTGGATCTAAAGAATCAACTCAAATATGACCCTAAAAAGCATCAAATGACAAGCGGAGTGCCGCATCACAGAAAATGTCGATCTCGACCGACCTCTGATAAGATTCTCGACACCAACTCCTATAGAGGTCGGCCAACGACCAAGTGGCACAGTGGAGGGAGGACGACTTGATTCGTACTTTTTTTTTTTTTATCTTTTCCAAAGAAAAGAGAATTGTCATATGTAAATTTCTTTTATAAAGGAGCTCTATTGGTCCGAGTTGAAAAACTATGTCATTTAACCATATTCCAAATATTTGAATTATTAAGAACCAAAATCATGAAATGGCATCCAAAGTAAAAAGAACAAAATTCTAAAAAAATCCACCATAATATCCGTGAGGGCAATAAAAATCCAAATAATAAGAACCGCCCATCTCCTCATCTGAATAGCAAGTAGCAACCACAAAAACGGGTGCAAGTTAACCTCACCGGCGCACGTTAACTCCTCTCACCATTTTCACTAAAAACATCATCTGTACAGCACTTGCCCGGCCAACAACCACTCTCTCCTCTTTCCCCCTCTCCCCACCGTCACAATGGAGTCTCGCGTGCTCACCGGTGCCACCATCCGCGGCCTGACCCTCCCCCCGAGACCGGCGGCGAAGCTCTCCGACAGCTGCAGCCTACCCGCCTTGAGGCTCGCCGGCAGGCTCAGCGGCGGCGGGAACTTGGTGTGGGGAAGGCAGCTCCGTCCAGCGATTCTTCTCGAGACCTCGCTGGTCGGCGCGGCTTCTCCGGCGATGAAGAGGGACATTCTCCGGCCGTGCTCCGCCGCGGCTTCTTCTCCGGCCGAGGGCGGCGATTCTTCCGGGTGAGGTCCGTTTTCATGGTGTCCGACCTGGTGACCCGACCCGTTCTCGAGCTTTTGTTTCCCTTACCCAATTTTCTTTTGTTTCGCAGGGCCGCGAAAGTCGGGTTCTTTCAGAAATACCCGGCTCTTGTCACCGGGTTCTTCTTCTTCATGTGGTGAGCTACCAGTTTTTGTTGACCATCTTCTTGAGATCATCTTCTGATTAACCGTCAATGGCTGTTGGTGGAAATTGACTTATTTGCCCCTTGCTCCTGTAGGTACTTTCTGAACGTGATATTCAACATCCTCAACAAGAAAATCTACAATTACTTCCCCTATCCTTAGTAAGCACCTTTCTTGAAGCTAATTACCCCATTTAGTTTTGTTCTATGTATGATTTGGTGTAGTTAAAGCTGATAGTTGGCCAATTTTGTTCGCAGTTTTGTGTCGGCTCTCCACTTACTTGTTGGTGTTGTTTACTGCTTAATAAGCTGGGCTGTTGGCCTCCCAAAGCGGGCTGTGAGTTTTCTAAGCCATTGAGTTCATTTAGTTTATTGTTTGATTTTAGTTATTGCAACTGATCCGAAAGCTCTTTCGTATCATTGTTCGAAAACGTCATTTTGATGTTAACCCCCCCACTTATATGCTGTAAAAAAGCCACATTTTAAGGTTTTTAATTAGAATTAGTTTAGAACAAATAGATTAAATAATCGTTCTGCAACAGGAGAAGACTTAGTGCACTTGCATTGTTCAGTATTTTTCAAGGCATAAACTAATTGTAGTGTGTTTGGTTTATGTTCTCTGTGTGGTGCAGCCAATTGACTCGAACCTCTTAAAACTTCTCGTCCCGGTTGCTGTTTGCCATGCTCTCGGCCATGTGACAAGTAATATCTCGTTTGCTGCTGTTGCAGTCTCGTTCACCCACACTATTAAAGGTGATAATCTAGTTCACTTGATGAGGTTAATCTTGAAGCTTTTGCCTAATGAATGAATTAATAATCTTGATATTTTTTTTATTTTGTTTTTTGGTGTGTTTCTCCTTGTTTTGAACTGTTACTGGACCAGCCCTCGAACCTTTCTTCAATGCTGCGGCTTCACAATTCATTCTTGGACAGTCGATTCCATTGGCGTTATGGCTGTCTTTGGCCCCAGTTGTTCTTGGTAAGCTACTGTATTCCTTTATGTTGTACTAAGAGAGTCTGGTAGCAAAATCTTGTAATTATCAATACCAGTTACATTTTGCGTATGATGAAACACTAGAAACTATGAGTTTATGGGTGAAAAAGTTGGCTGTCACTTTTTATTTCTTTGTTTCTAATTATTTCTTGTTTTATGAATAAAGACTCACAATTTTCCTATTGTGTACAAAAGATTCTGTAGTTTTTTTTTTTATAACAATTACAGATTAAAATGCAGGTGTGTCAATGGCATCACTCACTGAATTGTCTTTCAATTGGACCGGATTTGTTAGTGCCATGATTTCAAACATCTCCTTCACTTACAGGAGCATATACTCGAAAAAAGCCATGGTTAAGTGGATCTTCTGTACTTAAATTCCATCTTGTGTAGATCCTCTTGAAGTTATATTCTCTTGGGTGTTCGTTTATAAAACAACAATTTATTTTTTATTTTTTTTTTATTTTTTTTAAATGAATGATTCTTAATTTGCAGACTGATATGGACAGCACTAATTTGTATGCCTACATTTCAATTATCGCACTCGTTGTCTGCATTCCACCTGCTGTGATTGTAAGTCCCAACTAATAGTTGCATTGTTTGTTTAGCTCTCTTTCATCCACACATCTGCTTAATGCTTTTCTATTTTATTCTCTTTTGTACAGCTCGAGGGCCCTCAGCTGATGAAGCACGGATTTAACGATGCAATTGCTAAAGTTGGACTCACAAAGTTCATCACTGATCTTTTCTGGGTGGGAATGTTTTACCATCTCTATAATCAGGTAAACCCGATTTTCCAAGTCCCATATCAAATTTTTACTTGATTTCAACTCATTATATACATATATTTTTCTCATCTCAGTTGGCTACAAACACACTTGAGAGAGTGGCACCGCTGACTCATGCCGTTGGAAATGTTTTGAAACGTGTCTTCGTGATTGGCTTCTCGATTTTGGTGTTTGGTAAAATAATGCTTTTAATCTTCCTCGAGATAACTTGTAATTACGTATGGATTTCAATAACGACGCAAAGTGTTTTGTTAATCTTTCGTAATGTTTTGCAGGTAACAAGATTTCATTACAGACTGGTATTGGCACGTCCATTGCAATAGCTGGAGTTGCAATGTACTCCTTCATCAAGGCCAAGATGGAAGAAGAGAAACGGGTAAGAAAGCACTGAAAAGTAAAAATTTTGAAAAAAGAAAAGAACGAAAGATAAATCGAAATCGATATGAAAAAACCCGG